AGAAGACAGAAATCTTCATCGCCCTGATGACGGAGGCAGTATGTCCTCTGAAACGTTGGTAAACATCGACCAGACTACACAGCGCAACAACCCACAAGACAGAAATCTTCATACTCTGATGACGGAGGCAGTATGACCTCTGAAACGTTGGTTAACATCGACCAGACTACACGGCGCAACAACCAAAAAGACAGAAATCTTCGTGAATAGGTTGTGATGCAGAGGAATGCGGCACCTCCATTGTACTGATAATTTTTAGGGAAAAGCATAGTCAGGTTGGGACAGTGTATGCTATAGTGAAAACATGATGCAAGAGGATATCAATGAGGTATGAGTCAGAAATGTATTGTAAATGCTTCATCAAGAGCTGAGGATAAAGAAGAGCCAAAGACCAATACACAAATTGTAAACACCATGCTTCAAATGGTAGCCAAGTCCTGACATAGAATTTGGTGTAGGATTCTGCAAATTGATTGATGTTCTGAGGTTGGTAGCTCTTTTTAAATTATTTATGCCTGTGTATATGTCTCATATAGCTTTGTTTTTGCTCTTTGTTTCAAGTTTATTAATTCTGTCTTTCAGATATCTTCTCTGTATTTGTTCCGTTTGTTTTTCCTTGAAAGTTCTGCAAGTTTACCATCTGACATTCATTCTGAGTGTATGAATATTCTCCTTAGTTCTTCCAAGCTCTGTTGATGTCATCATTATCATCCAAGTTTTCTGAAGCTGTAAACTTGTTTTTGATTTTTACCAGGTTTCTTATATTATACGTTGTTTATTTTCTTGATGTTAATTCCCTCCACATAAAGTTTAATTGGTTGTACATAATTGTGTCTGTGGTCTTTTTTTCCAGAATGAATATGTGATTGAGACAATGAAACGTGAGAATTCAGCAGTGGAGCTATGACATTTAAAAGTTTCTCTTGCAATAATAAGTTAATTTAAACTTTTGTAATACAGGTTTTTACTAAAAAGCTTTTGTGAAGAAAATATGTTTTAGTTTGTTTACATTCTCACTCTCATAAGTTTTTGTTGCAGTGTGCTGTTTTGAAACTGAATTGTTGAAGATAAAGAGTTATTTATTTCATAGTTTATTTAGTGACTGTCTGTGAATTGAATTCATTATACAGTATTAAATAGCAGGAGGATTGTGAGTCATGAACTAGGAAGGAGGAGAAAGAAATGTTGTCTTATTTTAAGGCATCTCATTATTTTCTTAGCTTTTTATAGTATTAAAAAGATTGTTGGTGAAACATTCCACTCAAATTTGGGCCATGAACTATATTATGTGATCTAGTAATCTATCAACTTAATGTCCAAGTCATGTTATTCCTATTCCATGTTAGTTCATGACTTGTTTAAATTTGTTTGCCATGTTGAAACTAGATGTGAGCAATGCAGTGAATTTGAATCACGATAATTCCAGTGAATATTATCTGTGGGTAATGGTAATTTTAAGAAATAACCATGATCAGTTGATAATCTAACAAGACTGTATAGTGCTACAAGCAGGGAGGAACTTGTGTATCATTCCCCATTTTCAGATATGGATATTGGTAATTTTGATATAAATTGAATGATTTTTTGAAACTCTGTTTGAACATCGTTCTATTGGTGACCTTCAGTCTTATTCCTGATACCTTTTAGGCCCCTGTAAACAGTACTAATATTTTGTTTCTGTGAACTTTTGATGTGGGAACATCAATGTTGTTTCCAATATATTTGATATGGGCTCTTCAAATTTTGTATGGTGACAGATTTTTTAATAGTTTGCTTGTTTTATTTACGTAAGTTTGTTTAGTATATAATGAAAGATAACATGTTGGACTGTGAATTTATCTGGTGTGAAGAAGACTGTAATGGTTAGTTTACCTCAGCTTATTAAATTTGTGTGGTAACATATAAACATATATTAATATAGTGAGTTATATTAAAATTAGAAATGTCAGTTAGTATTGATAAATAAGCATGATATGACATTGGAAAAATTGCTGATATTATTCATCATTACTGTAAAACATTTGGGGAGAGACTTTGTTGGCTAATAGGATGAAAGAAATGTACAAATAACCTTGGCATCTTTGTAAAGAAAATAAAGGAACTTGTTGGTATATAAGAAATAGTAATATGCTTTAAAGAATTTTTAAAGTGTTAAGTTCAACAACTTATAATGCAACTGAAGGTGATATGAATTTAATGTGGTACATGAGTGATTTAAAAACCCTAAATTGATATTGATATGGGTTTCTGTATTAAATGACTTATCGAATTACAATATAACTAGACATAATCCTTCAAAATCATAATGTGCACCATGTCAGCTTTATAATGGTACCAGTAAGCTAAAAATGCAAAATAATAGTTCATATAGCAATATTTTTTGAAACCATTTGATCCTTTGTTCTACTTTCAGTTTCTTATATTCTCTGATCCAATTACAAACTTAACTGTAATGATCAAATTATTAAGGATTCCTTGGTGGTTCGTTGAAGTTTCTCATTTGTTGGTAATGTTTGCCAACTGTCAGAGAAATTATAGCAGCCGCCAATTTTATGGGAGGTGTACAGTACTACAAAAAGTGAGAAATAGATTCATGTTAGTCACATCACACTGAAGATGGATGTTGGCAGCCTGTCCAACAATATGGTATCAACAGCCAAGAATGAGAATAAAAGTTAATTGTGATCATATCCAGGTTGCTTCTGGTGGATATGTCACTCATAACCTCCAGTGTTTATGATGCTTATTTTTATCTTGTACTGTATTAATAATGTAAGGTGTGGGTGGGATTTGGATTAGGGGTAGAATAACATTTAGTGCAGCAACACAAATTTATTGTTAACTTCTGTTTTTAAATTTTGGAATGAGTTATGATAGTGGAGGTTATAGGCAAGTATGGTGCAGTACCCGTAAAGTTATGTATGTAGTATATAAATATTATAAGAAGGTTTATTTTAGAGGCATTCTCTTTTAAAAAACAACATTTTATTAACATCATTTTACAAACTTATTATTCCTTTTTAAATATATATATAATATATGGAATAAATTTTACAAAAATGTTGTACCTAATGTGCGTCGTTTCACGTTATTTTTCCCTCAATATGTTATCGAACTATTTTATATATAAATGTCTCCCAAGTTTCCATCTAATCCAGGAACTTGTAAAACAGTACACAGCAACTCTACTGCACATTGAGTGATTACAAATAACTCTCACCCAGCACATGCATACAACGTTCATTACAGAAGCTGCACCATGTTTACTAGAACTCGATCTGATAATGTGTCCTTAAACAGAAATGAAGATTTACCTTCAGCTTACAGGGGTGTCAACTTCGTCATTTATCTCATAGGATTTACATCAGTCTGTTCTAGCAAATTCCACCTAGTCATTTTTTTATGAGATCAACACTTTAAGAAAAGCTGACATGTCTACCCATGTCATTTGTTTACAGTGTGATCTGAATTTCCAGTTTTAGTACATACCAAAAAATGTAATATATAATATATAAAAGTGTGCATTTTCTATTGTCTTGATTTGAATTTGAGTTTTACTGGCATGTTTGTAGACTTAAGTGTTTACTCATCTTATTGCTGTCAGTTGGTACCTGCAGTATGTTTCATTTCACATTTTCTGTCACATTTTGACAGTTATGCTTGCAGTATTCTTATTGGGTGAACAGAGAGTCTGCCATAAAACCATTGAAAGAAGTCAAGTGGTATGACACTTTGTGAATATAGAAACCACTAAATTGGACAGAATTCCAAGCTGATGGACTGATTAGCTCAAACTGATTTTGTGGCTTTTTAGTTTATTAGACAGCATCCCAGTGACTTCATTCTTAGGGAATGTGTTGGAAGACATTTTTAACATTTATCAGACCAGTTTAGGGGATTTAAACCCATGCACTACAGGATTGCCAGCCAAACTTTAACTCTGGGGTTATCAGTTTAGCTGTATGCAATTGTACCACATGACCAGTTGGACTGTGCATAATCCACAATGCACAGATGATAAAGGTTAATGTCACAAACATCATGGAGTTCTCAATTTTAATTACAGTCTTTGTAGATTTGTTATAATGTGCTGCAAACAATAATTTTGTATCTGTTGGTTATTTATTTTTATTTATATCCTTGTCACCAGTGTTCCTTCTGTCCGCTGTTTTTCTTTAGAGCGAAGGTAAGTTACTTCTGCTTTAGTGTATGCCACGAAGATATTATTAAATGAATATATGGTTAAAGATTTACATATTCTTGACTTTGGTTCTAGATTAAGGTGAGATTCATGCTCTGATCATCTTTATCAGAGAGGAAAGAGGCCCCAGTACGAATGGATTCAAGAATGGGTGCCCAAGAATTGTTCTGGATGTGATGACAAAGAGCAAATTATGACTGTGCCAAGAATCATATCCTGACCTGTCACTGTTTATCATTGTTCAGTAATATCTTATTTTCTTCTAGCATGCCAGGTTCTTTTGCTGACAAGAAATTAGCAATTATGTCCTCAGAATGTAATCTTTTGTACTCCTTTGTTTGACATGGAGGGATGGGATGTTGTTCACAGTGCAGAAATGAACACACCCTTTGAGAAATGGGATCTCTTGCTGAGGTAACTTCTAATGTACCAAAAGTCAAATCTACAGCATCTAATTATTTTGTTTGTTTTAATTTTTGGCTCAGACACATGAAAGGTTATTTTTCATGAGTTCTAGTAAAATGGCTAAGATGCCTTCATGTTAATGCAGATGGAAATATTTATTGGAAGATTGTCATGATCTTCTAAATTGTTGAAACATCATAACTAAAAATTGAAGATTGCAAAATGTGGGGTCCAAGGTAATTAATGATTCCTTTTCTGTTAGCTTCTTGTTATTACTTCTAAATAAATAACATAAAAGAAAAACAATAATACAATGCTTAATAGCCACATGTCGTTGATAAATATGTAAGTATCTTTTTAGAAAACATCAAAAGTAATTTCTAATTACAAATGACCATCTTAGAATCAAGGTAAGTCTTGATTTTATTATGTAACTATGAACAACTGAAATAAATTGAAACATGGTAAAACAATTAAGATGCAATAAAATGTAAATAGAGACAGATAAGACTTTCTCACTGCATCAATAATTTGTTTTTAGAAGTTATGTTTTGGGCATTAGATAACACCAAACGAAGCCAACTTCAGAGAGAAAATCATATGGATGAATTCCAAGAAACAGTGCTTTTGATTACTAATAACTGAACATTGTATTTATTACATCATTTATCCACAAATTTTATACTGAGCATCTCTGTGTTGTCTTAAAAATTAGACACTGGCAGATATTTTAGTTTTAAAATTACCAAATTCAACATTTTTCAATGTCTAAGTCAGATATTGAGCTGTTTGTACAGTTTTTGTGAATAAATTGATACTGCATTTTTGAAAATATTACAGTCTAATTTATATATAAGCTGATACATCCAATTTGAACTGAGTTTTAGTTTTAGGTGCTGTATTTCTTTACCGTTTCACAAATATGAAGCATCTACTATGGTTAAGAGCTTATGCAATTCTTTCTCGTTTGCCGGTCATCCTTTAATGGGGAGTGGAAACAATCCCATCCTATGATTGGTCACATCAGAAGTGGCTTTTGCCTTAATTTTGCAAGTAGGCACATGCCAGTATAGTCAGAATATCATAACTGGAGGCATCAGAGCAGCAACAATAATACAAAATGGATATTTAAAACTTTAGAAAGAATTGTGTTCAATAAAACATTGCTACATTTGTTGAAAGACTTGCTATGCTTAAACATTCCAATTTGGAAGCATAGATATCTTACACCAAACGTCCTCTTGGAGATAACACATAATTTAATTAACCTTTCAAAAAGATAAATAACATTTTAATAATACTTTGTCCTCTTTACTTAAACATTTATAAATATCTATTTTATATTACCTATATTGGCACATCTGTTTCAAATAAACATTAAGTTCAATTTATTAATACTATTAACCAATTTAACAAATGAATCTTCATTAAATAATCTTTACTTTGTTCACAGTTTGCACAATTAATTTTCTGATCCTTGTCACTCACAGTGCTTAATTTGTTTATTACATTCTGCTGGTAAATTATTTTTTAAATATCAATCATAACATGTCTATGTGTCATGTTCTGTGAACATTATTGTCAAGTATACTAAATTATTGTTACTAGGAGACTCTATCCATGTGTTCATGGAATAACTTGTGGATGATTGAGCTGACAGTGTAAAAAGTTAGAACACAAATGGGTGAGCAAGGGTAATTAAGTGATGCTGAGTTTATTAATGGGTCAGTCTTATTCAACAGGGTCCAAGATTTGGCTTGGTGAGACATTATTTGATAATCAAGCATCCACTATTCAAGAAACAATCAGAAGTTTATGATATTCTCTGCAGGAATAGAGGAACAACAAAAATATTTATAACTTAGTGAGTAACTGCTATTTAATTAGCAGTAATTCACTAAGTATACATTTGTTTTTACTTTTCCATTATTCAGTTTGAAGACATGGTTTACGTTTGAGGGCATAATGGTTCCTTTTTATGAGTGAAAGTAGCTGTTCAAAATGGAATTATGAAAGAATCTTATAACATTCTTAGTAGCAATTCTGTGCTACAAAATTTTCTTGGATATAAGAATTTTTGTGAGGATGTTTTACAAGTATGAGTCTATAATACTGTAGCAAAGAAGTGTTATCAGGTATTCTTTTGACAAGGGTATATGAATGTGCACTGTGTTGTCAGTAACTGACCCAGTAACAAGATGAGTACGCTAAGGAAATAAACCCATATAATGTAGCTTGTGAGGTATGAAGTTCTCTGATCTAATAGTTACATGACCCTATAAGAAAGGATATCTACAACAGAATGATTATATCAGGAGACCATTTCATTTGCTTCAGAAGTGACAAAAAATGTCATTGTGTGCAAATAAGAATTTATTTTTTGTGTATTTTGTTAAGAGCACCCAAAAATTATAAAATGTATTTTGTCAATTGTTCAGGTAGTGTGAAGTTACATAATAAATTAAGCACTGTAGTTTCATAGAGGATTTGAAGACTATATTACAAATATGGATCTTTTTCAGACCAAGCTGTTACAAAATTGTTGTTTTTATTTACAACACTTAAAGCATATATTGTGTTTTGCAAGTAAATGTGTTGTAGTAATCTATGCTGAGTATTACAAACACAGTCCTCGACAAACTTTGAAACTCATGATTATCTTGCTTATATTGAATATAGTATTATTTATTACATCTCAATATTGGATGATAAAAATAGTTCAGCTGAATATACACATTCAAGAAGCCAAACACATCATTGAATTAAATTAACATTATTATTAAATTAACTAATAGTATCTCTGACTAATTATGTTAGATTTCTCTCTGAAAAAACATCTCTTGGTACATATATATTGTAAACGAAATGACAATATTAATTGGGTGAAATAACCAGTGACAGGCATTTTAATATCCTGATCACATTTACTTAAGGATTTAACAAATCACTTAGCTATGACAAACGATAAATTACTTCCATAAATATTTTAATAGTTACTATGTACAACCAACACATAATTGTTAAAACACAAGTTTAAACATCACCAAGAATGTGTGGCAAAATAATTGTTGAGTTTGTGCTGTGTTATATGAGAATGAAAGTAATGTTAACAATGCACTGTGTCCTCATACAGGGTGATATGTAATTTAAATTCAATACTTACACAATCAAGTGATATATTGAAACAAGGAAAGTAATGTTATTTTATAAGTAAACAATAATGTTCGTATATTACAGTTTTCATGATGTAAGTTTTGTCATTATTTGACTTTGGCCTATAAAATTATTGGCATTTCCATATTTCTAGTTTTGAAAAGTCATTTTTTAAAGTTTTTATCATTATTAGTCTGGAACATTGTTCTCCACTCTAGTACAAATTCAGTATCCAAATTTAACAAAAATAAATTGTTATTGTATCAAACTGTCAATATCACCCTTTCCATAATAAAAATGTAAATGCTTTTGAGCTTTATAGCAGTGAAATTGATTGATGTGCATGAGGTGAATTGGAATGGTGTAAATTTATATTGTTAAGACTGGATAAACATTACTTATATCCAGTGACAACTTTGTGATTCTCAGTAGTCCATATTTCTAAAGAAAACAAATTAGTACTTAATTTATCTATATTTGTTAAATCAGTAGTATAAAGTGACAGAATCTAGCAAACAGTTGTTTTGTATGAACACATATAGTCAGAAAATATATGTTGAATTGTCCCACATTATATTCAAATGTGCTGAACTAATAGTTCAGCTTCATGAAAGTTAGTTGTCAGTTAATATTCCAATTAAATACTTATAAGGCTGAAGCTTGGGAAATGTCATATTTTAATAATTTAAATTAAAACTCTGAATGTTGAAGATTGCAGTCTTCTGGGTTATTGCACCATGTAGTCTGGTATATTTCAACCAACATGTCAGAGGTCATACTGCTACTGCCTTCATCATCGGGGTGATGAGTGTGCCAATCAAGCAGGAAGGGATAGATTTATAGGAACCGGACTGTAACTGGAGTACCCACACACTCCTATTGGTCCCCACCTACGCCTGATTTGACACCTGCTTCCATTAGCTAGGATCAGGCTAGTTACAAAATTGCTTAATTATCTTCCATATTTATTTGAATCTATGCCAGATTAAAAGGTGCTTTTCTGCAGTCTTGTAAATCTTGATGTAAGTATTTTATATTTTTCACACAGAATCATTTTAGAATCAGAAATAATTTTATAGTTCACCAAGGACATATATTTTGGCTACTGCTGAATGAGAATAACTTAAATTTCTGAATGGAATGTTGATTTTTGTGTGTTGTTTATGCCAGACAATACATGGAACATCATATAAGGAGGTTATGTCTGCCTCAATCATCTGGCTGTGACACTTCTAGTGAAATAACCTAAATTAAATGTTGCACTGAGAAATGACATTAAAACATAAGGCAAAAATGATATTCTTGAGCCACTTTGGTAAGGCTGATATATACATTCATGAAATATAATGAGCTAAATGCTATATGTGCTACATATTTGTCATAGTTTCAACCGTATCAGAGAAATTTTATCATATTTACCTAGGTACATATATTGTAGTTGGTAAATTTGATTATGTTGGTAGGTCATGAAAACAAAAGAGAAACAAAATATTCTAGAGTTATTTGCTGTTATTTTTCGTAATTTACTTTTGTGGAAATTTAGTGGAACCAAGGCTGTCATGAATAAATTATAAACTTATAATCCGTAGGCATCATTATCACACAAATATATTTAGTATTTATTGTAATAATTGAATGTCCTGAGCAGTAAGGACTTCAAAGGTACACCATGTCTTACCTTTCATATCTAATTGCAGAAAATAAGTTTGCCACATAACATTATTGAGTAACATTGGATGTAATAGTCTGTAAAAAAGCTAGTGAAATATTGCAGTAGGATTGGCCAAATTGAAAATAAATATTTTAGTGTGTTATACATGATTGCTATAAATATCTTAAGAAAATGTAATGCTTTTTCTTTATATATATATATATGACACAGGAGTAGTATCCTGTGAATTCAGACTATCAATTGTAAACTAAAGATCATTAAATGTTTTTGCTGTTGTACCATTTAAATACCACTGCTTAATGTGTTGTGCCAGAAGTAAGGTGTTGACAAAATATGGAATACTGAGTGTTAAAGAAGTAAGTCATTGTAAATTTTAAGATAATCTCACTGAAGCACTGATCACTGGGCCAGGTTAAATTCACTTTCATTTATGTAGATTATTATCAATCAAGAAAAGATGTTTGGAGTCAGAGAGGAGGGGGATGACATGGAAGCTGGTAAGAATCCTATGTAAGCTAACTGCAATTATACAGCAACTCGATGTTTGTTTTCACACAATCATCTGCCCACACTTTCAGTCGCACATTGACACAACATGCGTTGAGGAACACCTAACTTATGATAAGACACATACAGTGTTACACTAGACAAAATATAAACATGTGAAAATAAGGAAATGTTAGACATTGTAGACATTTTGGTAGACTTCAACCTTAAATATTATCAGGAAGAGCAGAAATGCTTACTTCTACAGAGAAAACCTCTCTTTCTTATTTGTTTGTGTGGCCTTACATAACCAGTTCTGTGCTATGAGTGAAATATTTATCTAGAAACTTATATTGTCTTTGATGTTTCATTAGTTAGTGAACAGATATCTGTTCTGAAGTATGCTGCTAGTTTACACTTACTGCATTTGATGTAGCCTATAAATAATGTGGTTATATTATTAATATTGAACAAAGACAGAAATAGACCAAAAATTTGAACTACTTTACTTTCTCCAGCAGTACATCAGACATTATCTCATCCTAACCACCTGTCTGCATGGGTGAGATATGGTCTTATCTGTGATCTTTCACAATTGTGGAGAAAGATTTCAAAAGATTTAGTCTGTAAACAAGTTTTCTGCTTATGTAATGTATTTTTTGCATGTCAGAAATATTCTCAGAATGGCCATCTTTCTTTTTTTAAATTTCCCTTATTTTCACATGAAAATGGTTAACTGGACATAAATATATGTCAAGTTATTAACACTAATGACTATATTTGAAGAACAAGACCCGTCATACAATTGAAAGCCTTCGACAATTGTACACAGCCATCTGGCTTGCAAACAGTTTTGATCACTTTACTACTCGTATGTTTTTTGTTTTATTTTTATAAAACATAGAATGTCACAACTAAATTATCGTTTATATGTTTCTTGCATGACAACTGTAGCTATCACTTTCAGATGGAACAATTTTTGAGCGACAAATAAATGCGTGGACATTGCCATTTTCCCAAGGTTGCTTCATTTCATGTTTGGTCTTCGAGCTGTTGAATACTGTAATATAGAGGACTACCTAACAACACACATATACTGACTGACATGTAAATTTGGCTTCAAAATACTCATTTGCAGCTTTGAGATGTATGAGTCACTGCATTAAAGGGCAGTCAGCCTGCTGTTGCAGCAATACAACAAAACATAATATTAGTTATTATACAGTCCAACTGCAGAGATTTTTGTATATGCCATACAATGCTTTTGCTGTACATACTTACAGATTCCATATACAAAAACATATGAAATTTCAATATGATTTGTTGTATTCTGTGTATACATTCAGTGATTATTTATTTAATGAAATCCATCATATGTCATAACATTTCAGTTAGTGAAGTCTTTCCTTCTGAGCTGTAACATACAGTAATATACGGTAATAGGAGTATACATTTGGTAGATATTTTGATTTGTCCACAAGAAAATCTCAGAATCTATACAGAGAAGCTTTATGGATGTTGGTTTTGGCTTTAGATTTAGAATTTTTTTTCTAAGATATGTATTACTGAAAATGTAAGATCAGTGGATGATTGTAGATTTGCTGTGACCATACAAGAGGCGCAATTGCAGTTGAATGACAAGATATGGAATAAGCATTATGGTAATAGAAACTACAGCAACACATGCATCTGTACAAAAGTAACTACTGTAAAATATGTGACCACTTGTTGAAAATTTGGTTTTAAACATTTGCCTAAATCTGATTACCCTATCTGCTTTTAGTTCCAATAGAAGAATTTATTTCTGACTCATGCATATGTTAGTATGTGTGCGCGCGTGTGTGTACACGCATACACACACACACAGAGTTTTGGGTACATTTCAATTATATTATACATGGAGAGGGTTATGTGTTATCAAATGATGTGAAAGTTATCTGAAGTGATGAGTCGACAAGGGTTTGAAAAGAAGTACTTTGCCTTATTTGATGGTGCTAAAAACCATTTTCCTGGAGAAACTGAGGAAAACTGTGAAAACCTCACTCAGGGTAGGGACTTCATATTTGAACTGGATACCTCCCAAACACAATTCAGATGTGTTTTGTACCAATGTGCTTGTTAATGTGGTTGCATGTGTGTACAAACTGCATATATGAATGTTACACTTACAAATTCTTTAAAGATAATGTGAACTATGTTACTCCTTCCAACATTACTTTCTAGAAATAAGCCAGATGTAATTAAAATATATAGAACAATTTAAAAATACCATTTTATGGAAGTGATACTAATTGTTGTTCCAACAGCCTGTGCTTCCAGAGCCACTGATCAGGGTGAGAGGGAAGCACAGTGTTAGGCTAATGGATTAACAGCTGATTGTGAGCAATACTCATCCTGTTCCATTTGCATTCAGAATATGGCCATGCATAACTCTGTTGTTTCATATGAAGTCTTCTATTTATGGAAAACTTCTGTGAGCATTTCTACCTGACTGAAATTTGTGTTTACAGCAGTGAAAGATCTACCACTTTTTGACCATCACCATGTTGCCTAAAGTTTTTAAAGAAAGTCCTAACCTGTTCAAATAAAACCATTCATGATGATTCCACACCTTGCTTTTCAAATACATGTATAGAGACATGCAAATATATATTTTGTGAAAAAAAGGAAGATTTTTAATTCTCTGATTTAAAACCGGCACAACATTGAAATCTCTTCTGTAGCTGATAGTAATCTGACACATCTTAGAGGTCAGTGCCATCCACCAACTTATGCATACACCTTCTGATCAATGTTATGATACACATTCATTCTACATTTGCCAATCTCAGCATTGTATGAAAAAACAGATATTTATGTGTAGTGATTGGCATTCGCCTTTTTCGTTTAAACTAACCTCTCCATTTTAATGAACTGTTATGTTTAATGAATATCTAAACAGATCACTTAATGAAGAACAAGTTTAGAATTCACACCTGGTATGGAGTTGAGGTGGCATCTTATTAACCATGGCTTGCTGCAGCCCTGTAGATAGTTTCCAGCAGTATCAGGAGGGACTTGTGGATCTGCACTGCAAGGTTCATCCCTCCACCAACTGGTAGAATGGTGTTCAGTGACGATGGCAACTGTGCCATCTTGCATCTTCGAGTAACAAATGTTAATATGTTCAATTGTAAAATCCCCTATTCATGGCACTCCTGTTTCGATTGTGCCACTTACAAGTAAGAATTCGAACATAAGTATGCCGGAAGGAAGCATTACAAAGCGCATAACATACCGGATTGATTGTGCTGTTGATGTAACACAGATAGTAAAAGAAGTCCCACAGTTCTTGAGGAATGCAGCCTGTGCATGCAGTCAGTGGCTTGAGGAGCACCAGAATGTTATATGGGGTCCACGTGATAATGAATGCAAGGAGAATTGCTGAAAGTGTTTTGGCAGCTTTTTTATCAGCTTTTTTCTCTTGTGTTTTTTTCTTCTTCTTTTGTTGATGTTGAAGTTTGGGACCAGCATTAGCTAAACCTGCCCTTGAGCCAGTAGCTAATTGTTTGGGAATAATCTTAGCATTGAGCGGTATGCGAATATCTGGCATTTGAGATGGGCGTCTTGTGATTGCAGGTGAAATGGGGAATCCTCCTGCAGGGTGAAGGCTCAGATTATAGTCTATGCCCATACTCGTAGCACTGTCCACACGCCCTACCAAGCGTTGAGCCCCACCTCGGATTGGAGTCAGCATGTTGACACCGTCATCAGCAATCATCTTGATGGAAGGTTGGTCTGTGACACCACTGCCATCACAGCTTGTTGAGTCCGGAGGCAAGCGGATCAGTATCGTGTACACCTAGGGTAAGTATGACACATGTAGGTCATAGTGGAATGGACCATAAATGCTTAATTCTTTAAGAAAAGTTTATTAAATTAAAATCGAAAGGAACATTGGTTACTTCAGATGTTAAGACTTTTTCATGTGTCAAGATGTGAAAGATGAAATAGTTGTGTGGATGTATCATGGTTGATCAATATGATACATCTAATTTTGATAACCTTCAGAAGCAATGCTATCATTTACCATATATCTTTACACATTTGTTTTACAAAGCTCTGATTCTGTGGGTATTTTGGAAAGATGTATTTAACTTTTTGTAAAGGACTGTCATTTAACAAAATCGGAAGTTTTGGCGCTCTGAACTCCTGTTAATATTGTCAGTGCCATTAAGACCTTAATCTATAACAGAGACATACAGAAATTTATGCGGCCACCGATTCATCTGTTTATCCAGTCAGTTGTTCATCCACCCAGTGAACTATCATCTATCCACTCAACTACTCATCCTTCCAATGAATCAGCCATTCATTCAGTCAACCATCTGCCAATCCAGTCAGCTATATATACATGTGGGCATCCATCCATCCGAACAGTCATCCAGCCAACCATCCGCCAATCCCGTTGTCTGTCTACCCATCCAGACATGTTTCCATGCACTCATCCACTTGACCGTCTGCCAACGAAATCAGCTGTCCGTCCAATCGCCCTCCACTCACCGAATCGCTGGAGACGGAGCGCGCGGCGAGTCGACTAGAGGCCGGAAGACTGCGAGAGTCGTAGTGATGCAAGTGGTGCTGGCGTGTCGGGGTTTGCTGCTGCTGCATCGAGGTGTAGGGGTCGCGGATCACGTTGAGCGAGGTGCATCGCGACACACTCGACTGAAGCGGCGTCTCCACCGACACAGGCGTCGCGTACCCCATGTCGCTCGGCGTGTCCTCGTAGTCCGGGTCTATGCTCTCGTCTTCGTGTCCCGACTGCCACCATGCCACGCACCAGTCGCGCACCCATGCCCACGTCAGCGGCCGCGCCTTCTGAGATATAAGAGTAATAACAATGACAATGGCTGAAGAAGACCGGGCATGAGCGATGTCACACTAATCAGTGTACATGAGACCAGTCAACACCTCGTTGCAGTCCGTTCATATCTTCCTGAAATTAACATATACAATTCAATACGGAAGTTCTGCTCCCATAATTATTTCTTGACTTGATGGTAACGTTTTCCCCAGCATCCATCCCTTCCAGTTCATGATTCATCAGCGAACGTCGCGGTCGTGTGGTTAGCACTTAGCAGTCCTTTTTCGTATCTGGGATGTTTAGGTTTCAAATCTAGGCCTGGATATTGGCTATCTTGACTGAGGTTTTTGTAATTTTACTCAGTCCTTTCAGGCACTGCTGGGATAGTATCTAACATTAGGCCACGACCACTTCCTTCCATATCTTTTCATTAATCGCCTCATCATTCTACACTATATATCCTGAAACTACACATAAATAAATAACAGGATCCTAATAAAACACTTTATCCCTTTTCGACTTTGTATAATCTCTGTAGTTGATACAGTGTCATAAAAACCAAAAATCGAACAAAAGTTGATTAAAAATACATTTCTCTCCTGTAGGCCTACGTAGCAGCTGTGGTTATTTGCAGAATTTTCAATATGATCACTCACTGATAACTAACAAATCGTTCTGTGCGAGGTTATTGTTTGTCGGATGGGTAGGCACCACTAAAGCAGTTACATTTTCAGCTTGACTGCTACTTAGCGTTAAAATTCCGTTCGGCCATCTGACGTCATTATGAGTTTGGAATTGATCGATAGTTTAAACGCTGAACGACCAACTGGAAAATGGGGTTTTGTTCAGGAGAAACGTTAGAAAATAAATATATTTGCTGCAGGTTAGAGTGACGAAATATTACATTTTCGGACAAACAGGGATATGCAGTTTTATTCGAATTCACATACAATTTAAATTCTGCACAGTTTATCGCAAGTACATTGAATAAACGTGTATGTCTCATTAAAGATTTTGTCAGTACAATGAATATTTATTGAAATAAATGCAAACATGTTCCAGTCATACCCGTAGAGCAGGGTTGGAAAAATTGCTGGTAGCCTCAGGTAAACAGAAATCGAAATTTTGAAGAAGGTGACTTGTGGGGTACTTATTATTTTGCATTTGTATTATTGTAGTTTAGAGAGTTCAATTTATTACAACTATAGAAATGAGAAAATTGAGTGGGGTTCTCTCGAAATTCAGATCAGCTGAGCGACTGTTAGCTTCTCAAGAAGCTCCACGCAGTTAGTCCGTAAGAGTGTACGATGTTGTGTCAGAATTAGTTATCAACACTTATTTTTATGTCTTTCCGTATTATAGTTGATTACTGTAATTTAAAATATTGCCCTCATTACAAAAGTCTACCAGTTTTTGAAATATCGTGCTTTTATGATTTTATAAATTAGACGATGGACTAAGTCCATAAGAACAATTTTAAACATTGTAGCGGACAGTCGTCAGAAATCTTCAAATGTCGAAAGATGGCCGTCTTCTTGGTTATTGCGCCGTGTAGACTGGTAGAAGTTTACCGACGTTTCAGAGGTCACTGCTGCCTCTACCAGACTACACGGCGCAACGAACCAGCAGACAGCCATCTTCAAATTCACAGCCGAGGAAACCTCAAAGCCTTCAAATTTCTACAGAATACCTGGTCACCTGGCCAGGACCTTCGGAATACGAAGCGAGAGTGGTAACCACTATGCTGGGACGTGCGATCTTCCTTGTTGAGGCATTAAAAGTGTCACAGAATCGTTTTTGATAAATGTATTGAGGTGTAGCCCGAGAGGGCGCCGTGTTTGATACAGACCGTGCGTTGCATGTAGGTGGAATCCAGCTCATCGGCCGCTGTGCTGGACTCGCTCCGTGATCGCTTCCAGTCCTCCAGATCCATCGCTTCGTCACTGTGGACACAACACAGAGCTCCGCTGTGATTTATTACAGACAGCACTCTCTGCACCCCCCCCAACCACCCCCGAAATGTCAATGGTAATGTGAAAAATTGTTTTTGTATCATGAGAAGTCTGTCGATCCTTATCTGTTCAAGCAATGCCACGTTGTCGTGGAACCCAACATTTCGTTTCCATCAATACGAAAGGTCACGGTTAGATCCTGGGATGGTCTAGTTTAAAGCAGTTGACATAAGCGTTTACCGAAGTCGGGGGTACGCCCCCCCCCCCCCCCCCCGCCCCCCCGG